ATACATATATATATGTATGTGTGTGTGTGTGTGTGTGTATATATATATATATATATATATGAAACTAGGAATGGAAAATTATTGACAATAACATGTATGATTAAACCACTATGCAGTGTATTCTGGACAGGAAATCACATTTTGTCTGCTGTGACAATGCTCAGGGAATGAATGTAAATTAATTAATTAATTTAAAAAAATGTTTCAGAAGAAATAATTTTAATAGTATCTAACATGCAATTCTCAAGAAGAAGGCACCATATTTGGAAATGTCGAGTTAGTTCACATTTAATTTCACCTGATCTCATAAGAAACATACAAAAAGAGGTAAACATATACTTTTATTATCAGACATTCCCCAACCTGACCAACCCACCAAAATAAAATCTCTTAAAGTATAAACTGAGTTAGCTCAAAACATATACACTAACAAAGCCAACCAAAACACACACCTTTCGTTACTGGAAAATGACCTCGGAAAAGCAAGTAAGTTTTACTTCGGTTAAAATGCTACTGTTAACTTACACTGGATGCTAAGCTAGTACCCAACGACCAGGCCAGGACTGGCCTAGAACTCTAATGGTTTTTAACCTAAGTGGTAAGACAAATGCCTAATGGTTTTTAATCCAAGTATGATAAATAGAATTTGAAAAAAATTAGCATACTATGACCAGTCCTCAGAACATTCTGACATATTTGCAATCCTACAGTAACTGTGAATTTCAACTTCCACAAATTAATGACCTTCAGTGAAACAGCTGGGGCTTAGAGAGGTCTGATTTCAACAACCCATTTCCTTGGGGTAAAGGAGAAAGATGTGGAAATATTTCTCATTAACCACATCAACCTTTACAATAGAGGAAGAAATATGTGCCAATTCACGGGATGTACTCTACTGAAAAGCATTTCTGATCATTTAGTGTAAACAGAAGCATTTAGAAACTAAAATTTCCTGCTCAGACACAATTTCCTCTTTCCACTCATCCTTGAAAGTAATCATTTTTAGATTAATTGCACTCTGACTTTTGAAACAAGTAATAATATAACTAGCTACCAGCAAACTACTTACTAACTACTGCAAATGTGCCCAGGTTTTATCAAACTAGTCCTAACCATGATAAATTCACTGCTGCCTACTGGACACTGGTCCTCATGCTATCCTGACATTCCTGACTTCTGAGTCCAATAGGAAAGAAAGCAATCCATGTCCCTGTGTCCTCTCCACCAGGTGCTGCCCAATCCCCTTCCCAGACAAAGTCTATCTGTCAACCCCCCAGGCTCACACCAACCTCAGCACAAGCCATGACATTTCAGAAAAAGAAAAATGAGGGTAACAAACTAGGAGTGACAGCAACTGATGACAAAAGATTGCCTTCCTTATAGGTAAGAAGCAAAATGTGTTATTCAAAATATTACACTAGAAAAATCCAATTATTGGAGTAGCGTGATGGTTATGGCACCGGACTCCCACATGGCCAACCATGGTTCAAGTCCCAGGTCTGGCGGCTTGAAAATCACACCAGGCACATGTGCGTGTGTGCCTAAAATTGCAAGGTGAAAGTAAAGAAGGGATTGTGGCATGGTCATCCTCCCTGGGGGGTGATTTCTCACTTTCCCTCTCTGTCAAGTACACACACCCTAAAACAAAAACCTCAAGATAAAAAGAAAAAGAAAAATACAGTTATTTTCAAGGAATAATATAAAACATGGGCAGAATGCAAAAAATTGATTAAGAAAGACTCAGCATCTGTATCTGGCATAGATGAGCTACTGAAGAGAAACCAAGTGCATTTAAAAAGAGCAATGTTCAGAGGGTGGGCAGACCATACCACTTTCTCCAGAGGTTGGGGATGGTGGTGGAGTGGCAGCAGTAACACTGTGTTTGTCCCAGACAGTCTCCAAGATACCTGCCAAGAAAGGAGAAACTGAGTTTGAGAAAAATAAAGTCCAGCATATGACATCAGATTAAGAAAAACAATTGATACTTTTGATCGAACATCAATGTTTAAACATCCTTCTCTCAACCCCCCTGGGTAATAGTTGTGCCTTTCTAATTTACTTCCAGCTACCTTCTGGAAAGTACTGTCCCCACTTGGAGGATCTCTATTGCTGCATCTTGACCTTATAACGTGTTTTCTCCCACACAATTTCCACCAACATTGCTCTTTGCCAAGATTGCCTGGTTGCTATATCTACCCGGTGGCCAATTTAATCCTCCTGGACCACTCTATGGCATTCCAAGCCACTGTCCAAACCCTTCTCTGAGCCTGTAGTTTCCTTGCTTTTCTCTGGTTTCTCTGAACTCGACTCCATCTCTTTCACCTTCACCACCTTCCTCTGTCCATCAGTACCCATCTGTCCCCAGATTTCCCCACTACCTTATGTCTCTCTGCTGTGTTGACTCACCTACTGCCGTGGCTTCAACAAAACGTATTATGAAGACTCTCAGGTCTCTGCCAATGTCTGTCTCTATTTGTCTAAAACTCATGCTGACCATACACTCCAACCTCTATGTCACATGTCAGGGAATTAGAAACCAGACAAGACATTCATAGACCTGCATATCCAATTGCTTCCTGGACAATACCACTTGGATATCTTAAATTCAACTTTTCTTCCCCCACAAACCTGCCATTAATCCTCTTATGTTCCTCACCCAGTAAACAGTACTACCCTACAGGTCTCAGTGTGTAGCCTCTGTTCACTCTTTTGGCCTTGCCTGTTCCAGCCTTCAACCCACCTCATACCAGGCTACATGATGCTGAACTGTCTATGTGTCCACCTCTGACCAGCTCTCCTCCCACTAATCCCAATTTGACCTTTCCACCAAACTAATTGCACTTGGGACCAGCAGTTAGCGTAATAGCTGTGTAGCTGGACTCCCATGTAGTTGACCACGGTTCGTATCCCGGATCTGGTGGCTTAAAAGTCACACCAGGCACGTGTGCATGTGTGCCCAAGATCCCAAGAAAATGGAGGAGAAGAGATTGTGGCATGGCCATCCCCTGGGGGGTGATTTCTCACTTTCTGTCTCTCTGTCTCTGTCTGGCGAGCACACACGCTCTATAGCAAAAACCTCTTCCAAAAAAAAAGAAAAACAAACTAACAGCACTTGTGTGTCCCTCAGAATCCATTCAGCATTTCCAGAAAATCTTCCTGCCTGCTCAGCTTTGCCTACACATAAAACATACCCTCTATTATAGCTCTTGAAACACTATTTAACTGTTAACTTGCCTGCCCTCCACTAGAGTGTAAATTACTAAAGGGCAGGAACTGTACTCGATTCCTCTCTGTAATCCCAATAGAATCTGGAAGAGAAAAATGTCATACAGGCTTCTGAAAACATTTTACTGCTCAAATATTTAATATTAAAACACAAATAAGTCTTGAAAACATTGCGCTAAATGAAAGCAACGTTATATAAAAGATGACCTAACTTAAAATAGGCAAATCCATATAGGCAGAAAGATAAGTGGTTGCCCACAGAGGTAGGTGGGGGGATGTGGAGTGACAGTTAATGGAAACAGGGTTTCTTTATGGGGTAATCAAGATGCTGTAGAATTAAATAGTGGTAATGGCTGTAAAACTTTGTGAATATGCTAAAAACTACTGAATTGTTACACTTTAAAATGGTGACTTTTTGATATATGAACTATTACACATGTCAATTTTTAATAATATGCTGCTACAAATAGTAAGACACAGGGTTATAAGGGACAGTCCCTAACTCTAGAAATGTAACGTCTAGTTGAGGTGACGGTAAGTGTGCTATGAATGACTACATATGCTCTGAGGTTTGGGTTTCCCTCTTGGGGTTTAGGGATGGATAGGAAACAAAGGACAAGATGACTTTTGTTCAATAATTTTTAAGTATCTGCCGCATGCCAAGTACTAAACTAGACATGCAAAAGAAAAATGTTCCTAGACATCCAAAAGAAATCTGGGTGGAAGGGGTGGAGAAAAAAAAAACACTCGTTTCCCCACTTCCCTACAGCATCCTTTTTCTGCAGTAAGCACAGGCTCCTCAGCACCCTAGAGGTCTGAACCAGCTATTGCTCACATCAGCATGGCAATCCCAACCCTTGCGACTCAGGGCTGTGCTTGCTTCCTATCACCTGTCTCATTTTGTGCTTTGTTTTCTGGTTATTCTTATCCTTCGCACACTGTTATGAGGCTCTGATCAAACAGACAAGATGAAATGCTACATACGACTACAACCTCGTGCACAGGCGGGCTGATTCCCCTTGTCTCACTTCCCTACATACGATGGGAAATTTTCATGTCTTCCTACTACTCCAACTTCTCCCGATTTCAAATTCAAATTATTTTAAATAAAGAGCTGCTACCCACCTTATTTCAAATCCAGTAATTGACATTTTAATCACACTCTTATGACCTAGACTATACCTCGTTAATCATAGATATATTATAGTGAGGACCAATTAAATGAAAATAAGTTACAAATCTTTTTTGAGACCCTCCCACATGCTAAACACTACACTATGAACGCTGGTAATTCAGCACTAAATCTTTCTGTTTTAATGCTCACTCTCAGCAATAGCTCAAACGAGTGTTCAAAAACAGAGTGCCAACGTCTGATTTCTGGGTATCTGTAGGCAGCAAACTGCTCACCTGTCAGTAGCCCGAGCACTGTCTGCACCTGGTCCAGTAATAGCTTTCGCAACTCCTCCTTCCGAGCCACACTGAGGTCCTCACGGTTTTTTACCTCTTCCGAAGTTGTCTTCAACATGATCAGCCCAAGGGGAGTTGTCACAGGGGACTGGATCAACTGCCAGGAAAAAGAGTTCTGAGCAATGTTGCACAAATAAGGTACAAAGAACTTAGCAGTCGTTTAGGGTGCGTGTGTTTAAACTTCCCTGAACAGCTACACAAACCAACATTTTAGAAAAATGACTAGGAGACCAGCAGTTGGCATAATGGCTATGTCACTGGACTCCCATGGAGTCGACTGCAGTTCAAGTCCCAGACCTTGTGGCTTCGTCACACCGGGCGCATGTGTATGCGTGCCCAAGATCCTGAGAGGAGAACGGAGGAGAAAGGATTGCGGTGTGACCATCCCCCCTGGGGGGTGATTTCTCGCTTTCGTGTGCGCGGCGTTGGCTTGTCTGTGTGTTTGTTTCTGTCTCTCTCTCTCTCATCTCTCTCTCTCTCTTTCTCTCTCTCTCTCTCTCTCTCTCTCTTTCTGGAGAGTGCACACGCTCTATAGCAAAAACCTCTCAAAAAATAAAGAAAAACAACTTAGAATACATTTATGTAGCTTTTCTTCCTTTTTTTTTAAATCCACAAGAAATGTATTCTCAACCTTATTTCAAGGACAAGATTCTAGTAACATGAACCTGAAAACAGCTAAAAAATGAAACTCTTTTACACCTAATGTGACACTTTTTATATAAGTCCAGATTCCCAATAAAACTTTGGTTACTCTGCCCAAAAACCAAGTTAGGTGAAATATATTGATATGTATATAATATAATATGTATATATATATACACACACACACATACATGCACACACAAGCAATTAAGATATGTTAAATCAGTTTTAAAAGCTTCTCAAAAATCAGGTTGTTAAATCAACTTTACATTTCTAAGCTCTGTGTGCTTCAGAGAAGTTTACAATTATACATGAAGCAAAGCCACAACATGTACATGTGACTAAAGTAAACTACAGGTTTTTTTTATTTTTGCTATAGGGCACATACACTCACCAGAAAAAGAAGCAGGGTGGGGGGATCACCCCCTAGGGGATGACCACACCACAATTCCTTCTCCTCCACTGTTTTCGAGATCTGAGACATGCATGCACACATGCCCAGCATGATTTTCAAAGATTCCAGGTCTGGAACTCAAACTGCATAGCTGGTTATGTGGGAATCCATAACCTTAACCTCCACGCCATCTGCTGGCCCTACGACTTTGTAAATACCTACATGGTAAATTAAAACATTGTTCTTTTCACCTGTAATATTCTACCATAAGAAAGTTTATTTGAGGACCAGCGGATGGCATAATAGTTACATCACTAGACTCCCACATAGCCGACCACAGTTCGAGTCCAGCAGCCTCAAACTCACACCAGGCACATGAGCAGGTGTGCCCAAAATCCCAAGAGGAAAATGGAGAAGGGATTGTGGCAAAGTCATCCCCCATGGAGGTTGATTTCTCACTTTCTGTCTCTCCAGCAAGCATACATGCCTTATAGCAAAAATCCCTCTTAAAAATTAGAAGTTCATTTGTATAAAAGGGAAAAATAGGGCACACTTTCAACAGCATAACACTTGTATCTTCCTAATGGGTTTCCCAAAATTCGAAACAATACTCTAGTATGTTTATTTTTGGTTTCCAGAAATGGTAAAAGTAATAGCAAGCTGCCACTAAAATTCTCTGTTGAATTATACGTTACAATCTATAGAAAAGCAAACAACTTAAGGAACATCTCATCTTTTTCTTTAAACATAATTAACTTTAAATGTAGTTCATCCTCCAATACAAGTTTCTTTACTATTCAAGCTACACAATATAAGCTTTAGGGAAGAAGAAAATACTCAACAACTGCACCCAAACAGACAAGTATCATTCACTTCAAGAAATACAGGGAACTTCCAATCACAAATCGAGGAAACCCTCAACCCCAAAGAGCAGGAAAAGTACTGAATAATGACAGCTTAAGGTAAAGTCAACTGCCCTCAGAAGTAGCACTACGAAACATCAGCAACAATGAATGTTTTAAAATACTCTCTATGCCCAACTATGGTGGCACACAGGTAGTACCCCACTTGGGAGGCTATAGACCGCAAATGAGGCATAGGTTCAGCTGCTGGACCAACCTGAACACACTGAGCACAGCTGTGTGCCCTACAATTCTAGCATTTAATTAGAAGACTGGCACACAAGTATCACAATACAGCAAGACACTATCAAAAACATATTCCTACCTCTCTCTCCCCAATCTCATAAAGTAAAAAAAAAAAAAAAAAAAAGATCTCTATAAAGCCCAATCACAGTAGCATGCACTGGTGGACTCTGTTACAGGACAGAATGAGGCCACATGGGAAGCACAGGTTCAATTCTCAAGACCACCCTAAAAAGCCAGGTGCAATGGCACACACTATAGTTCCCATTACGTGGAAGGCAGAGACAGGAGGATCACAATATAACAAGACCTTGTCTTTTTTAAAAAAAAAATCTTCTCTTCATGAAATCAGTTCTCTTGAGCATTAAAACCCCAATTGCATCCTCCACATGTTCTATATTTTCTACAAATCTGGACTATTTATAACACTAGCTTAAAATCAGATAATGTACTAAAGAAGAACAGGAAATCCCTCCTCTACCAATTTTTCCTTACATAATAAAATAGAACTTCATAATAAGCACCTCTTTCCACTTTGGAGACCTCTGTATACTAATCCATATTCATTCATTCATTCATTCATTCATTCGTTCATATTAATTGCCAGAGGGCATGTGTGCTCGCCAGAAAGAGAGGAAGAGAAGCAATCCCCAATAGGGCAGGGTCACACCTCAATCCCTTCTCTTATTTGGATTTGAGCATACGTGCACTGGGGCCAGGATCTGAACCAAATTCTCCCAGGTGGGATCCAGCTCCCTTAAAAACTGGGCATGGGGCTGGCCCTATCAATCTATATTCTAAAATACTTCCATTAGTTCCCTTTTACATTTAATCCTTTCTCTTCAGATTTTTGGTTTTATTTTCCCCCAAGTTCTAAGGTGAGAATGACTCCTACTGCCTAATATTGCACTTGGCAATATATACCTTTCTGTGGTTATAAAAATGTCTATACTCCCAGAAATAAAAAATTCCTACAATATGAAAAACATCTTATAATTTTTTCTCTCATTTGGGAGAAGGGAAGAAGGTAAGACTAGGAGCCAGATTAAAAGAAAGAAAGAAAGAAAGAAAGAAAGAAAGAAAGAAAGAAAGAAAGAAAGCAAGCAAGCTAGCTAGCTATCATTTACTTAGGAAATATGTAATTTTTCATCTCACTGGCTCTGTATCCAGAAAACTTTACTCTTTATTTCCCTTTACCATCTTCACATACATAATTAAAGATAACACAGGTAAATCTCTGCAATTTATTTTACAAACAATAAGTATCTTTAGATTAAAGACCATGTTCAGACTTCCAGTGTGAAATTCTGAAAAGGTTCAACAGTTTTTATCGTACAACCCAATCAAAGAAACAGCAATTCTTCCCTATGCTGCTTGCCTCTTAACTATTTGGTACCCTAGGCACAATGTGTCCTGATTCGGCTCACTAGATTTCAGGAAACCTGAAGAATAGATTCTAGAAAAGTGTCCTGTGTGTGAGGGTCAGTGTATGGAAGGAGTAATAGGGAGTCAGTTCCCAACTGGAATTAATTCCTTCTCTAGTGGCCTTGAAAGGGTGTAACGAACACCCAAAACAGTAAGAATTTTTCTGGGGCCAAGTCAACTCCTCTCTGCCTGGTATGGTGATCATCACACTTTTAACACAAATTGCATAATGCCCCAGTCAACTGTCACAGTTTGAAAAAAAATAAAACAACTATGTATCCCAGGCTGCAAACAGACCATGATGGAATTGAGCCAAAAGAAACCTTTTAGATGGTTTACTCAAAGGATTGTGTGATGGTGAAACTGATTCCAGAACCAGTCTGGTCTTGTTTACCAATACCTGAAGAAAAGGTTTGCTTTATTATCATTACGAGAAATGTCAGCATCTGAGCACTGATCATTCCTGACATGGCTTATATGTCACTGACTGGCTCACACGGATAAATAAAAAGTGGTAAATAACACAACTAGAAACGATTTTAAAGATCACTTTGTCCAACCATTCCATTTTACAAAGAAGGAAATGGAGGCTCACATAAGTGGCAGGACTTCTAAAATCAAAGATGATTTTACTTGAAGATGAATGCAAAACCCAAACCTGCTGCCTCCCCTGCAGTTCTCTTTCCGCTACATGGTGTGAAAGCTACACAAGGTTAGTTTAAAGGAGTTATTTCTGAAGGGGTGGAACAGGGCAAGCAGTGGAGATCAGAGGAAGACATCTAGCCTGTTTAAACCTCCATGAGTGCCTTACCTAAAATGCTCTTCCAAATTCTCATTTGTTATAATTACACGTCAAGAGTAGACAGGAAATGTTCTGTTCTTCAGCAGAGGAACAGTTGGTGGGAACACAGCTCCTCCACACCCACCACCATCGGAACCATGGCTCTCCATCTTCCGTTCAATTGCTTCTTTTCACCGCACATACAACCCAACAACCTAACCCAGGAATGACCCCCCAACTTTCTTAGTCTTTTCCACCTCTACTGGGCTGCCCTGGCTCCTCCATTAAAAAACCATGGAGAGTTAGCCACGATGTCCTCAACTTGGAGGAAAGGCAAGTGTGTAAGAGAGAGCCAGGAAGGCCTCTCACTCACGTCCCTCCACTCCAGGCCAACTGGCCTCCCTGCCATTCTGCCGGCTCCTCTTCACAAAACACTATTCCCCTAGGTACCCAGTTGGTTCACTCCATCATTTCCATTCACATTTCTGCCCAAATGTCTGCCACCAAGAAAAGCCTTCCATGAGATTTCCATGTAAATGAAACCCTGGGAAGTCTCTTTCCTTTACCCCAGATTTAGTTTTCTTCATCCCACTTTTAACTATCTCAGCTTACTGTTTGCTGATGCTCTCCCTCCATGAGGTTATAAACTCCATGAATGAAGGCACTTTATATTTGTTCATTGCTACATCCCACCAAATGCTCAGTTAGCACACGGCTGGTGTTCAACAAATAGTTTACTGAATGAAAGCATGAATCCTTTGTGGTTTCAATCTACTATATTGCTAGATGAATGAATCGCTATACAAAGCCAAATTGAAGAATTTTTATACCACTCTGACAGGAGATCTGGAAGAAGTATGGATGCCTCAATTTTTTAACTGCTGCCATCATTCAAATGCTTTGTAGGAAAAGAAGGCAGAACAGTAGAAAACAATGATATTTTTCTAAAAAATACTGAACCTATAATCAGTGAGACTATAACCAATTTGCTAATAACTATATTTCTATAAACTATACATAAAACCCATTTCCTGGGAACCAGAAGTTAGCATAATGGCTATGTCGCTGGACTCCCACGTAGTCGACCGCGGTTCGCGTCCCAGACCCGGTGGCTTAGAACTCACGCCGGGTGCGTGTGCGTGCGTGCCCAAGATCCCGAGAGGAGAATGGAGGAGAAGGGATTGCGGCATGACCATCCCCCCAGGGGGTGATTTCTCGCTTTCCATCTCTATGTCTCTCTCTGTCTGTCTGGCGAGCGCACGCACCCTATAGCAAAAACCTCTCAAAAAAAAAAATTTCCTACAACTCTACACTTTCTCAGTAACCTGAAAAACCACTTAATCACAGATTCAAATGACATCCAACAGCATCTGTCTCCTAGCCCTTAGGTCCGACGTAACTGCCCAATGGTTTCCAAACCCCAACCTGTAACTGGACCTCTCTCCTAAATCCAAGATCTACATTTCCTAGTGGCTGGTGGGATCTCACATGGAAGAAAATATACAAAACTTAATTGCATTTTCTGCCAAATGAATGTACTATCTTTTACCTAATCCCACCCTCACCCCTCTCCTTTATGCCTGGCCTGGAAAATCTATCTAAACCAGAAACCAGGAAATCACTCCAGATTTCTTCCTTCCTTCAACCTCACCATCTAGTCATCTACAAGTCTTCTTCCTCAAAGGGCCTCACCTCCCTCCACCAGGTAGGTCTCTGCTTGGCTTAGTCCTACCCAGACTTCTCCAACAATAGCCTTCCTGGTCTCCTTCCATCTTGTCTTATCCCTCTGCAAGCTGAACTCTAGCCAGAGAGGTCATTCCAACATAAAAAGATGGCCACGTTTTCTCCCTCTGTAAAACTTTTCATCAGATCCCAAGAAAGACTATGAATTAAATACTAAAAGCCCCTCTGCCCTTCATGGTCTAGCCTTATCCACCAACCCAGTCTCTTATTCTACTGTGTCTCCTACTCATACCTCACCACCAACAGTGAGTCTTAATGCTATACCACCACTGCACTCTGTACAGACTTCCACCAGTACTTGTCAGACCACTAGATAATTACTGTTTACACAGTCACTTCCCTACTAAGTCCTGAACTATTATAGGTCTACTCCTTGCAACCCCCACACCTGGTGCAGCACCTAACATATTTTCAAACACTTACTGAACAGAATTTCACAAGTAGTTAACAAAGCAGCTGGGTTTTCCCCCTCTTTCTCCACTGCACGAAGGCACAACATCTACCAAGAATAGCAATTAAGTGAATGCAGTAATCTATCCTACAAAAACTCACTAATACAGTTCCAAATGCTGATCTTAAACTCCTCTTCAAGACAAGGAAATAATCACTTCTACAAACAAACTATTCACAGATAAAGTTTCCATAGCTATAGCCTTACCTGTAAAATGTTAGTAAAAAAGTCATGGTAGAACATGGGCCAATCTTGACGTCCAATATCAACAATAACTTTACAGAGTTTGTTCCGAATAAAGTAAGGTAAGGTTTTATGGTGAGCCAAAAGGAGTTTGGGCAGGCAGCTACGGATTTCCATCTTATCCTGAGATGGGACCCCAAGCCACATTTTATTGATCAAATTCTGAAAAACAAATATACATCTTTTAAGTTAATAATCTATACATAAAAATAACGAGTATTCATCCCATCGTTATCTGTATCAGCTCAATAAACAATAGCCCTTTATAAAATAAAGAGCAATTTGGCAATTAAGTGTAAGAAAATTCAAATCCTGTGATACAACAATCACATTCCTAGGAAGATATGCTAAATAATTTAACAGAAACAGAAAGCTACATGTGCAAAATTTCCTTTTACACTACTATCTCTAATAGCCACCAAAAAATGACAAGAATAACTTTAATGTTCAAAAACAAAAGAATGATAAGGTGAATAATGACAATTGAAGGGATATAATATAAAGGTAAGAGGAGGAAAACAAGAATACAAAATGACATGAATATTATAGATTTTTTAAGTGTGCATAGAAGACAAGGATTGGAAGAAAGTCAACTTAAATGAAAATGTTTGTGGTTAGGGATGACAGTATTATGGAAATCATCCCTCCTCCCAAAAATGTTTTTAACTATTTTTTCCTTTTAAATGATGAGGTAGGGAGGTGGAGGGTTTACATTTTACCACAAATAGATCCTAAAGTCAACTTACTTTGCTGATGTCAAAGGTGAAAAGTACCCTAGAACACCAGTCATCTAGATAAAGGCAGGTGTGGGCAGAAATCCCTGAACTAAGCTACCACTGAGTCTCAGCCATCTGCACATTAAAGCTAAAGTTTATTAGCACAAATAAATAACATGGGAATTTGACTACAAAATACTATTCAAAAGAACATAAACATATCTAACAACTTACCTCAAAAACTGTTAAACTGTACATCATTACATAGTCATTCCTAGTGCTGGAGAGAAAATACAGGCAGAATCTCCAGGCTCCTATTTGCTGGGCAAAGTTATTAAGAAGCTCCTCTGGAAGTTAAATAGCAAAAAAGAAGATGTTGAAAATACATGGAATTAAAAGGAGACTGAGCTGGCTTATTATTTTCTCTAGCATGCCTCTTCTCTTCACATAACATAAATGATGTCAAAATCAACCATACAACCTAGCTGATTCTTTAAGATAGAAAGAACAGCTCATAAAATATCTTTCTGACTAAGGTAACCACCAACACTGTCAGGGTTTTCAGTCATCTTAAAAGCTAAACTCTACTATCTACCCTTTTTGGACAGAGAAACTTTCATTGTTTAAGTTCTTATCTAACCTAATAAGTGAGTTGAAAGTTGTTCAGGGTATCATTTCATTTTACTCTTTTTTTTTTTTGGAAGGGTATCATTTCATTTTAAAAATGATAGCTAACACACTTCCTCTGTCCTCACCACTCCTTCACAGATCTTCAGTATAGTCTATGCTATTCCCACACACAGAAGATGAAGGCTAGAGAAGCAGAAAAACAAAAGATTAAGATTTAACCTTAAAAGTCAGACTAGGAAAAATGAATGAGAATTCAAGATGATTAACACTCTTCATCTGGGTTGGTTTTTTAATCTTAAAATACCACCAAAAAAAGTAATAATAACAAAAATCTGTAATACGAGTTAACAGTCATGAGAGTTGCCAGGTATAGCCCTGTCCACACATCATGTCAGTTAGAATTGGTTTTCCTCCTGCTTAGGCTGCTGACAACAGCAGCCAGACTCCACAAGGCAGCAAGCATTAAAGGTCTATCATCATGTTTCTGGACATGGTATTCCCTAGTCACTTTGACCTGCTACACTGGTCATGAAATATAATTTCAAATGGAGTAAAACTGCAAAGGCCAACAACTCCAAGAGACTCTAAGAAATGCTTGGAAAAGCAGAATGCACAGCAACTCCTTCTAGTCAAAGTCACTCCTCTGCTAGCTCCCCACAACTTGGGCTAAATGCAACAATGCAGTACCATAAAAATTCTGTAAAAGGAAGGTATGAACTGTTCTAATAACTAAGCGAATGTTTCTATAATCCTAGAAGTTATGTGAAACCAGAGAGAATAAACTATGGCGAGAAATGAGGAAGTCTGGAGTCTTCTAGACTTTACCACTTCACTGAGACTGACCCCAACAGAGTCACTGCTCCTCCATAATGCTTCCATTTCCTCCACATGAAAATGACCAGTTGGTCTCGATGACCCGCTAACAACTCTGTAAAGCTGTAGAGCTCTATTAACTCCCCTTTGCTGGAGGGTGGCTGCATTTAACTGGCCAACGTGATTTAAAGACATGAAAACACACCTCCAGGGTCGTGAAGCTATCAAAAAGACCTCCAAGGAGGTGAAAGTAATGAAGGTAAGTTTAGTACAGAACACTAAGATACCCATGGGAAAAGCCTTTAGGTTTAGAAACAGAAAAGCATTTCCTAGGGGTTGGACGATAGGTTATAGGTTTGCATCCAGAAACCTCCCTAAGTACACAGAAAAGGCCTCCCTCCTTTCTTCTACCTAGCTAAGAAAAGTCTTTAATTTATGGTAAGACAACAGAAAAGAAGCAAGAAGTGGTTCTAGCCCACGCACTTCAAATAAAGCTACAGAGACTATGAACAAAGAGAACTGAAGTAAGACACACCCACCAAACAGAACCAAACCCCCGGATTCCCCTCAGCCTGTAAATTAGACATTCATAACATCTGGTTATTTACAGATATGTTACAATCAGATTAGAACACGAATATGTTCAAAAGGTTCCACTTTTGATTTTTTGAACACACACGGTGAACGTCATTTGATTTGCAAACCAAAAATTAGGAGAAAAATTCAAAGAATTTCACTTGTAGGCTAAAAACAACTGAAATGACTAAAAAAATTAGAGTGTTGGAATAAGGGAAAAGCTCCTCCACCTCCTAAAATCATCATTGATATTTTTACCACAAGTATAAGGTACTTTAGTAGCATAAGACTAATAAAAGCATCACTCTGGGAGCACAAGGGTCAGTCCACCTGAGTACTAAGAGAGAACCTAGAAAACAAGTAGGGCAGAGCTTCTTAGCCAGATAGCTGGTCAATCTACTGGGTCAGCTCCCGTCAGTGAGGCCTTCTTTATAACGCCGTGTTTCTCTACAGTGCATTGCCTCAGAAAAACCAGACATACAGGGGGCAGGTCCAAAAGAAACTACCATGTTTAAAATGAAGAGACAAGAAGTCAGCACCTACCAGAACCTGATGTGATATGTAAAGGATGCAAGGGGAAACAAGAAGGAGCCAATGGTACTAGCCACCAGGAAACCTGAACCCCAACTGAGCTCCAAACCATAAGCAGAAATCAGCCCTAACATTTAACTGGCCAATGTGCTTTAAAGACAGTGAAACACACCGCCAGAGTCCTGAAGCTATCAAAAAAGACCTCCAAGGAGGTGAAAGTAATGAAAGTAAGTTTAGTACAAAACAGTAACATACTCATGGGAAAAGCCTTTAGGCTTAGAAACAGAAAAGCATTTCCTGCGGGTTGGATGATACGTTACAGGTTCACATCCAGAAACCTCCCTAAGTACACTAGGTCCAAGATCTAGAGCTGACTGAGGATGGATCACAGCATCAAAAGCCTGTCTGTCTCATGGAAAAAAATAAATAAATTTAAGAAAGGGAGAGGGATGGTGCACTAGACTCCCACATGGCCAACTACAGCTCAAATCTCAGACCTTGTGGTTTGCTTTCTCACTCTCTTTCTCTGTGTCTCTCTCTGGTGAGTGCATGTACCCTGTAGCAAATTAAAATAATAATAAATTAAATTAAATAAATAATTCCTTAAAAAGAGAGAGAGAGGGAAAGAAAGGAAGGGGAGGAGAGGGGGCCAGGATTTTTGTTCCAGAAAGAGAGAAGAGAGAAAGGCAGGAAGAGAAAGGAAGGGACGGGAAGGGAAGGGAAGGGAGGAGAAGGGAGGGGAGGGGAGGGAAGAAGCATTTTTGTTCCAACTTCAGAAGTATCAATAAGTGGGACCAGCATTTAGCGTAATGGCTGTGTCGCTGGACTCCCACGTAGTCAACTACGGTTCAAGTCCCAGACCTGGCGGCTTAAACTCACGCCGGGCGCGTGTGCATGCGTGCCCAAGATCCCAGGAGGAGAATGGAGAAGGGATTGTGGTGTGGCCATCCCCCGGGGAGTGATTTCTCGCTTTCTGTCTCTCTGTCTTTCTGGCAAGCGCACATGCCCGATAGCGAAAACCTCTCCAAAAAGAAAAAAAAAAAGAAGTATCAATAAGTGAGAGCTCAGAAGAAAAACAGATTGCTCTAGGATCACGGTGCAGCATATCCCTGGGATAGACATCTGACACTTGAATACACATTCTACTTTACAGCATGCTTTAATAAATACTTCTGTGTGTGGGGGGGGAGGGAGGCCAGTAGTGGGCGTAATGGCTATGTCACTGGACTCCCATGTAGTCGACCACGGTTCAAGTCCTGGACCCAGCAGCTTAAACTCACACCGGGCGCATGTGTATGCGTGCCCAAGATCCCAAGAGGAGAATGGAGGAGAAGGGATTGCGGCATGGCCATTCCCCTGGGGGGTGATTTCTCCCCCTCTCTCTCTCTCTCATGGCCGTCCCCCTAGGGGGTGATTTCTCTCTCTCTCTCTCTCTCTCTCTGTCTCTGTCTGTCTTTCTGGAGAGCTCACACGCCCTATAGCAAAAACCTCTAAAAAAAATAAGTAAAATTTTAAAAATATAAATAAATAAATATTTCTTTGGGAATTACTATAAAATTCAAAAGTAGGTTCTAGAAAGTGCTGAGGTCCCCAGAAGACCTGAAGTACATTTCACTATTGTTTGAAGTCTTTATCAAAACTTGCAGAATGGGAACAACAATAAAGGGGGAGAAAAAAAGGAGATGCTAGAACCCCCCCGTCCCCCAAATACAAAAGTAATAACACTTAGGAGATCTCTGAGAACTAGATTACGTTCAGATCAGATCTCTGCACACCAAAATGTGTTCACTAATGGTAACACTTTAATAAGTGTTTTTTTCTTAATAGTCAAAGCCTTCTTATAAAAGTTCAACAATACTGCTGAAATTAAAAACAAAGTGGGGGAAGGAGGGGCAGCAGGTGGTATGGTGGTGGAGGTGCTGAATTCCCATATGGCTGAACATAGTTCAAGTCCCAGACCTGACAGGCTGTTTTCTCAATCCTCCCCCAACCTGTCTCTCACTGGTGAGCATGTGTACCCTATAGCAAATTTTTAAAAATAATAATAATAGGGGTCAGCAGGTGGCATGGTGGTTGAGGCGCTGGACTCCCACATGGCCAACTGCAGTTTGAGTACCGGACCTAGAGATCTGCTTTCCCATTCTCTCTCTCTCTCTCTCTCTCTGTTTCTCTCTGGTGAGCACATGTGTCCTATAGCAAATGGAAAAATAATAACAATATTAAAAATAGTCCACTTTATTTATTTACAATTTATTTTTAAAATAATAATAAAATTAAATAATTCTAAAATAAGTTTTTAAAAAAAAAAAGTAGGGGACATGTTTTTCATTTGATCAAAGAAAACAAAATCTATCATTATGCCCTTGTGGCTTGGTTTACGGACCTCTCCAGCTGCCAACCAGCCGAATTAGAGCAAAAAGAGCAAGAATTCCAAGAGAAAAATATACAGGCTTAACCGCCCAAGCTTATCAACTCCTTCTTCCTTGCCTTGTCATTATAAATGACCCTCTACAACTCAACACTTCACTTACCTATCTCACGTTTTCTTTCATTGGTAGTACAGTCGTGGAAAAATTCTGTCATCAGACTTTCCAAGGCCCTAAGGGAGGCTTCTTCAGATGCCTAACAAAGGAATTTGAAAAAACATCAGTAAACCACATCTTCAGTTCTACAGTTCCTCAGTTCCTTCCAGGTCACATTCGGCAGTATGAGCAATTTACTTCCTCAAAACATCTTGGTTCAACATTCTTCAAATACATGGTATAAGCCTGAAAAACTGAAGGGAATTTCCCAGCTGGCTTGAAACCCAAAGTTTCAGTATTCTCTATAAATGCATGTTACTGTGCAGTCATTTTTTTATTATTTTTGCTAAGAAGAAGGAAACAAATCATTCAAAATTCAATTCCAGAAAAATGTAGAAAGCAAATTATCAGTCACTAGCCCTGACTGAGTAGGCAGAATTAAAAGATCTAGGGAGAGAGATAAGGCTCTTTACAGAGACTACCCATTAACAGTACACTTGGTTCCATGTCTGAATAATTAGCCATGTTTTGACTTGGGACAATTCTATTAAACTGCTGCATGGATTCTTGGGATTTTTTTCAAAGCACTTCATACACACATTCAAGTCTCAGTCTCGCATGAGCAGCCAACAGATTAAGGGGTGGTTGAGAGCCAAGATGAGCAGGGACTCAAATTTAGACAGCACTTGCAAACCACAGAGCCACAGAGACGTTCAGCAGAACTGCCAAGCTGAGAATGAGTGGAGAAGGAGGCCCACAGCCCCCACATGCACCCTCTCCCTCTCCATATGGACGCCCAAACCCACTTCCTTCTCTCTGGTTGAAGTAGAGGATGTCAGTCGCAGCAGTGAGCCAAGTCAACACTCTCACACAACCTGTCTGCCAAAAGGTGAGAGTCCCTAGACCATTTTTTTAATTGCCAGAGGGCACACATGCATGAGAGAGACAGACAGGAGGGTGGGCAGAGGGCGGGGGAGGGAGAAAGCATCCCCAGTGGAGTGTGATCTCGCTGCAATTATTTTTCTTCCATATTTCCATCCTGTCAAGATCTTGGGCACACAGGTACATGTACCCATCATGTTTTTCAAGCCACTCAGTCAGCCATGCGGGATCTGGCTCCCTACGCACAGTGCTTAACTGCTATGCTCTAGGATCAGCTCCCCGACCACTTCTGAATCCTCAATGGCATTGATGTATCCCAGAGAGGAAATCAAGAGTCGACAGCAGCTCCAATTTTTTTTAAGTTTATTTATTTATTTCTCCATATGAAACAGACTGAGCTGAAGAGAAGACAGAGAAAGGAGTACCCCAAACAGATCTTCACACCACAATCTACCCCCAGCCTCAGCATGCCAAGATAATGTGCATGTATGAGCTCATCTAATGTGTACGCGGAGACCTGAGGATGCAAACCCAGGACATTTCTCTGTGGATTCAGCATCATGGAGTCTTGCATTGCTGCTGGGCTACCATGGCCAGCGCAAATTTTTAAATTCTCTCTTAATTCCTTTCTTTCTACCCACTTCTTTTTCCCATATCCTCTTCATTAGCCCCAGAATGAGAACTGACTATAAAAATTGCATTTTAAAACAAGCCCACATTGGGACCAGCAGTTAGCATAATGGCTTTGTCGCTGGACTCCCACGTAGTCGACCGTGGTTCGCGTCCCAGACCTGGTGGCTTAAAATTCATGCGGGCGCGTGTGTGTGCGTGCCCAAGATCCCGAGAAGAGAAGGGATTGTAGTGTGGCCATCCCCCCTGGGGGGTGATTTCTCGCTTTCTGTATCTCTGTCTGTCTGGCGAGCGCACGTGCCCTATAGCAAAAACCTCTCAAAAAAGAAAAAAAAAAAAAAAACAAGCCCACAT